GGTTGAAATTCGATGATGAAGACTTAAATTCTTTGCACTGAAAATGTTTGAAAAATATAGAATATATACTACTTAGGTGCATAAACGGTGCATAAACCTATAGTTGACTTACGCATATCGGCATATGCATGGTAAATGAACCAAACTATACGAATTTGATGCAATGAATAAGTTTGAGAAATGAATTGAGTATCTTAATAATTGGTTTGAACATATTGTGATGCGAGCATAATTGACTCTTTTTTATTATTTTTTATTTTTTTATATAAATATAAAATTATATATATTGCTAATATGTTTTCTATTTTTTTGAAATAATATTTGTATATTATAAACTGGTCATAACTGAGATGTAATGTTTAGTTTTGTTACAATACTTAATTGTAAAATATTTATTATTACACATTTTTATGTAAAAAAAATAGAGGTAAAAATTGGAGAAGTTCTTAGTTACAAATGTGGTATATATTTAGTTTCTTAGTTAAATTTATGTGACATATTATTAGTGGTAGATTTAATTCTTAGGGGCTAAATATTCTATTACTTATAATAACTGAAAGACTAAATATATATACATAATGAATAATTGAAAAACTATATTTGTACTACAGTCACAAATTGAATGACTTAAAAGTGCTACTTTTCAAAAAAATAAATAAAAAAATTATTGAGTCTATTTGAGTCAACATTGAATATTTTGAACTCAAATAGGTCAAATTTATACTCATAAAATTAGAACTTAATCAAGCTCAAGTTTTTATTTTTAAAATCGGGTTGAGTTTCCGAATTTAATTATTCGAGCTTAGTTATGTTTGATTAGACTCTTACCACCAGTAGAAATAGGGGGTGTTTCGCAGTATTGTAAAAATCCCGCCTAAGCAACGATTAATCGGTGGCAAGGTTCTAGGCACTGGCCGACCGCCTAGCGTATCACCATAATTGGTAGTCTAGGCGGCTGGCTGGTTAGGTGGCCGATTGAGTTACCTAGGCACCGACTAGGTCGCTTAGTCGGTCATTTTTTTAATGGGTTATTTAACTCAAAATGATAATATCGTTTTGAGCGAAATAACTCAAATTGTTCAAACTCTACATTTTTAGGTTAATATTTAATATTTTAGTATTAACTATTAAAGTATTAAATAGTTTATAATTATCAAGTCTTGAAAAATTAAAAAAATTTAAACAAATTTTTTTAAAATAATAAAAAAAAATACACAGGCGCTGATTAATCGCCGCCTAGGCGCCATAGCGCTAGGTCCCCCCCAAGTGTCCGAGGAGCGCCTAGCGATTTTTTCAACCATGGTGTTTGGCAAACAGTTGTTAGCTGATTGTGTTACTGTGTTTGATTAGTTGATAACATTAACTGATTGTAAAAAGATGTTTGGTAAATTAGTTGTTAGCTGATAGTTGATTACATGTAAAATGAATTTCTCAAACAACTTATCGAAAAAGCTACTTTGAGCAGCTTTTTAAATTTTAATATTTTGAAACAATAAACTGTTACCAAAAAAAATATATTAATTAATCAAACATTTATATTGAATGTTTAAACAAGTCAAACAGTTAATAGTGATCAAATTAGCCAAAATTAAATGATAAGCTAATTATGTTACCAAACATTCCTAATGTGTTGCTTGTGAACTGTTTAACGACAAATTATATTATGCACCGCGGTGCATAATCGATTATGCACCGCGCGTCTTTTTTTTTTTTAAATGAAAATTAACAGTGTTTATTTCCGCCGTTTCGCACCCTTTTACAAAAAGTAACCCTGTTATTCAGTGTCATTTTGTATACACTGCAGTTTCAGTTGAACACAACTACAGTTTCATTTCGATATAACTATAGTTTCATTCGATATTTTATAGACTCAAATATGTGAAAATGTTATTTAATTTTATTTTATATACACTATAGTTTTATTAAAACACAATTACATGATCATTTTGATATAATTACAGCTTCATTGTAAAATATACACTCAAATATGTGAAATGTTATTCAGTTTCAGTTTATATACACTGCAGTTTCAGTTCACTATAACTATAGTATCATTTTGATATAACTGCAGTGTCGGTTTGGATATAATGTAGTGTCAGTTAGTGTTTAATACACCAAACAAACGGACTCCGTTAACTCTAACGGCGGGCCGTTTCTTTACTTAAAGAAACGGCGCCGTATATGGGCCGCGGTGCATAATTGATTATGCTATGCACCGCGGTCTATAATATAACAACTGTTGTTTAACTGAGAACAACAAAGAAGTTTAATTATATTCTTTTAATGGGCTAATATGATGGAACCTCAACTACGTACAAGATTCACTAAAAGAGGAACGTTATGCTGTGTAACCGTGTGCACCATGCAAAGTGCACACGATTCAAATCCATAATTTCTATATTATGAATTCATAATTTCTAAACTATAAATTCATAATTTCTATATTATAGATTCATAATTTATATACTGTAGATTCATAATTTTTAATCCGTAGATTCATTATTTAAATACAATAGATTTATAATTTTTATACAGTAGATTCATAATTTTTATATTGCAGATTCATAATATCAGTACTGTAGATTCATAATTTCTGTACTGTAGATTCATAATTTCTAAACTGTATAGTTATCAAATTATGAATATATAGTTCTGTGATTTGTGAATACAGAGTTCAACAATTGGGAATATGAACATCTAAAATTATGAACATAGAGTTCTGTAATTGTGAATATAGAGTTCAGTAATTATGAATATGAAGTTAAAAAATTATGAATATATATCTTTATAATTATGAACATATAGTTCAGTAATTATGAAAACATATAACAGTGTGCACCATGCATGGTGCACACGGTTACACAGCATAATTTGTCACTAAAAGAGCATCCATAGTAGTTGAAAATTTGTACGATTTTTAAGAGTGACATGTAGGAGAGAGATAAGTTGGGAGAGAAAAAAAAAAGAGAAAAAAAAAAGTCATGCCGCGTTTAAAAAAAAAAAAACAAAAAACAAAAGAGTGGCCGCCAGCTTTGACGCGTCCCAGCGGGCGCGAAGTTGCGCCAAATGCGCTATTCCGTGATTTTATTTATTTATTGTTTGTTCCCCTCCTGCAAAGAACCAAGGTTTTGCAGGAGGAAAATTCAGCCAAAATCCATTCCTCCCATCAGCCAAAATCCATTGCTATTGTTCTAAAAATCATCTAAAATGCACTACTAAGGATGATCTAATGTAGTTAGGAGAGATCAATTATTCAATCATCATCATATCATTGACCAAGGTCTATTTTGCAAGGTGGACCCTTATCCAAAACAATATTATTTTGTAGCTTACATAAATAATGTCTTTAGTCAATAGTTATTGCGTGGACCGTGGTCCACATAGCTGTGTGGACTACGATCATAAAATGATGTCGTTTCACGTAATTTTTTTTTTTCATGCGATCCATTGCAACATACATTTTTATAACTCATAATTTACATTATTCTAACTCATAAAATACACAATATCTCCATTAATCTGAACTGCATATCAAGGTTAAGAACTTCTTCGGTGCTCGGGATGAAGCAAACATGCTCCATTATCAGATAAATTGTTTCACCTTATGAAAGAAGATCTCGCCAAATAAACGAAAGGAAAACTTGCTAAAGACACGAGAGGAAATAACTCGCAAACGAAACGAGAGGAAATAACTTTAACAAAACAACATATGAAAATCAAATCTAAAACAACCAAAACAAATCCTAAACACCAAACCACTAACATATATATATATATATATATATATATATATATATATATATATATATATATATATATAATTTATTGAACCGTTGAAAAAGGTAAAGAAGCTTGGATCTGGAGTTGGAGATGGCGAGAGACAGTGGTGAAGGAGGAGGAAACGTCGGTGAGGGGCCGGAGGAGATGGTGGCGGTCGAAGAGAGGCGGGAGGAGGTGCCGGTAGCGAAGGAGAGGCCGAATGATAGACGATTGAGAGACAGTCGGATCATGGAATAGGGAAAGAAACGAGAGGAGGTCGGTGCCGCCTCCATAAAACGAGCGGAGGCGGCAGCGAATCAATGGAGGATAAACATTGTTGGTTTATTATTATTATTTTTAAAATTTACCCATTATTGATTTAAGAATAATTTTAAAAAAAAATATTTTGGTCCTTGGTTGCATAGTTAGCTTACAAGTCAATTTTAATTTGTTTGACTTGGTTAAACAACCAAGCAATATGAGTGTTTGGTTAATATGCTTTTTGTAACAGTTTATTGCACCAAAATGTTAAAATTCAAAAAGCTTTCGATCAGCTTTTTGAGAAAAAATAAATTATAACCTTAAATTTTATTTTGCATATAATCAACTATCACCTAATTTACCAAACATTTTTTTTACAATCAATTAATACTATCAGATAGTCAAACCCTCTAACCCAATCCACTTACATCTATTTGCTAAACACCGCCTTTTTCTTATTTAGTTTTTTAAAAAACGTGTCAAATACAATTATGCCTTACAAAATTAATCAGTGAATATTTAAAATGTTGATTATCTTTATCTTCTTTATATTATTATATATAATTATATATAATTATATATAATTGAATGATGGTGAGGATCCGTTACAGGTTAGTCTTAATACTGTGGACTTATGGGTACAGGTTTCGGACATCCCCCAGGGATACTGTACGGTTAAAGTGTTGGAAAGAATTGGACACTATGTTGGGGTGTTCTTGCGCTATGATGAACGAAATTTTGAGAGACAATGGACTTCCTTCTATAGAGTTAGAGTCACCCATGATGTCTCAAACCCCTTGAAGCGGCGGATGAAGATGATTCTGAGAGATGGGTCCTGGACATGGATTAATTTCAAATATGAACGCCTCCACATGTTTTGCTTTTTTTTTTTTTGTGGACGAATGGACCATACGGACAAATTTTGCTTACAAGCTCGCCGTTCGTTGTTGAGATCAGAACAATATCCGTTTGGGGCGTCGATGAGGGTGGGGGGTACAAATTCGGCCAAGGTGTTGGGGGAAAAATGGTTTCAACTAGGCCAAGAGAGGAGGCGTGAGATTGGCTATGGGAGTGGGAGAGGGGGAATGTCGGTGGGAGTTGGGGTTGGAAGGAGTGAGCAAACTCGGGTGGAGGTGTCTCAACCTACGGCTCGGGTGGGTTCGGATATCGGCGGTGTGGGTGGGTTGGGCAGTGAGGGCGTTGGCGGTGAGGGGGTGGGGGTTCGGGTTGATCCGAAAAGAAGGAGGACGGAAATTGGGGAGGTGAGTGCTTTGAATGGGGACATGGTTGTTGATTCTGATTCTTTGATGGCGGGACCTGTGGATCAGGTCCGCTGGTCCCAATGAGTACCTTAAGTTGGAACTATCGTGGCTTGGGTAATCCACAGACAGTTCGCGAGATTGAGGACATGGTGTCCTCTAAGAAACCCGACTTTGTATTTCTCATAGAAACCAAGGTTGACCGTGATCATGCGGAGCGCCTTCGGGTTAAACTTGGTTTTGATGGACTTTTTTGTATTGACAGTTCTGGTTTGAGTGGTGGATTGGCTTTGTTGTGGAGAGCAAATAATACAGCGAGATTGATTAGTTATTCCACAAACTATGTGGATGTTGAGGTGACTATGCCGGGGTTTGAGAAGTGGAGAATGACTGGATTTTATGACTTTTCGCAGAGGGGTCAGAGGAGAGACTCGTGGAGTCTTATTCGTACCTTAGCTGGCAGATCAAATCTACCATGGGTGATGATTGGAGACTTTAATGATTTACTTTTTCAATCTGAGAAGCGGGGTGGAAACCCTCATCCTCTGAGTTTATTGCATGGATTCGGTGAGACTATAGAGGAATGTGGATTAGCGCAGATGCCAATGATGGGATATCCGTTTACATGGGAAAAAGGAAAAGGCACACCGAATTGGATAGAGGAAAGGTTAGACAAGGTCTTGACTAGCCAAAGATGGCGGGAGATTGTGCCGGATGCTAGTGTGCAAAATATATTAACCCGAAAGTCCGATCATTCTGCTCTTTTCCTTGGGATTCTGAATCTTCGGGAAAGGACGGGTGGTCTGAGAAGAGGGTTTCGTTTTGAGATGGCATGGCTGCATGATGAAGGATGTAGGGATGTGGTGGAGAAGGCATGGAACGATGGCGCAGGAAGGGGGTTGCAAGAATGTATCTCTGTTTGTGGACATCGTTTATCGCGTTGGGGAGGAGAGCATTTTCATAAGTTTGGTGAGCGGATCAGAAACCTGCGGAAGGAACAGTTGCGTCTGAGGGGGTGTAATGATCCGGTCTCATTGGCTGAGTTCCAACGTTTGGAGAAGTGCCTATGTCGTATTGAGGCCCAGGAGGACACATACTGGAGGCAGAGAGCCAAGCAGCATTGGCTAAAGAACGCGGATGCTAACACGAAATACTACCACAGGTATGCATCTCATCGCAAGAAAAAGAATACTATTTTAAAAATTATGAATGGTAGTGGGGATTGGGTGGAGGGTGAAGCCATGAGGAACGTTATCTACGACAATTATAAGACTATCTTTACCTCTGACTCCCCAAGAGATAGTGGGGAATTCTTTGGAAGTATAGCCTCTCGGGTATCACAAGTACAGAATGAGTTGCTCTTGCGGCCCTTTGATGCTAGTGAGGTAAAGAGTGCTCTATTTTCAATGTTTCCTGACAAAGCACCAGGACTGGATGGAATGAATCCGGGCTTCTACCAGCATTTTTGGGATATAGTGGGTGGTGATGTATCGACCTATATTGTGAATTGTCTTAATACTCGCTCGTTTCCAACTTGCCTGAATGATACAAATATAATATTGATCCCAAAGAAGAAAACCCCTGAGATGGTCTCGGATTATAGACCGATAGCTCTGAGTAACGTGGTGTACAGGATTATGGCTAAGGTTATAACTGCCAGGATGAAACCGCTTATGGGGGATATTATATCTGACACCCAAAGTGCTTTTATTTCTGACAGGCTAATAACGGATAATATTTTGATTGCTGCTGAGGTAGGACATTTTTTGAATAGAAAACAATGTGGAGTCACAGGGTGGGGGGCTTTGAAACTGGATATGGCTAAAGCCTATGACCGAGTGGAGTGGCCCTTCCTGCGTGGTATGATGTTAGCATTGGGCTTTGATGAAAGGTGGGTGGATTTGATAATGCTGTGTGTGACCTCAGTTTCATATAGTATACTGGTTAGTGGACCACGAAGTGACCAGATTGTTCCGACTCGTGGATTAAGGCAGGGTGACCCACTGTCACCTTATCTCTTTATTATTTGTGCTGAGGGACTTTCATTGTTACTACAGCAGGCACAATTGAGAGGAGATCTACACGGGTGCAGAGTAGCTAGGGGAGCCCCCCCTATATCTCACTTATTTTTTTGCAGATGATAGCTTGCTCTTTTTTAGAGCAACTGCGCAGGAAGCCAATGTGGTGAAACAGTGTTTATCGGTGTATGAGGAAATGTCTGGGCAAGCAGTGAATTACTATAAGTCAAGTATTTGCTATAGTAAGAATACGCGGGATGAGCACAGAGAGGAGGTTGTCAGTATTTTGAGAGTGGTTCAGGCTCCGAATTTTGGGAGGTATTTAGGACTCCCATCGTTTGTGGGCAGGAATAGGAGAGCAGTGTTCTCATATATTGATGATAAGGTAAGACAGCGGATTGGGTCCTGGAATAAGAAATTGCTTTCACAGGCGGGTAAGGAAGTCTTGTTGAAAAGTGTGGCACAGTCTATGCCCACCTTTTCTATGAGTGTCTTTTTACTACCTATGAATACTTGCACAGCCATTGAGAGAGCTATGAATCGTTACTGGTGGAGATCTAAGGATGATCAGGGCATCCATTGGAAGGCATGGGATAAATTATGCATCCCTAACAAGTATGGGGGATTGGGCTTTAAAGAATTACATGCCTTTAATTTAGCTATGCTGGGGAAACAGGCCTGGCGTTTACTCACCAAACCTGAATCACTGGTTTCCAGAATATATAAAGCCAGGTACTATCCTAAAGGGACATTCTTTGATGCTTGTATAGGAAATAACCCAAGTTACTGCTGGCGTAGTATTATGGCTGCACATGAATTAATTTGTGGGGGAGTCAGACGCAGGATTGGGAATGGGAAAGGAACTCTTATCTGGGATCATCCATGACTTCAGGATGAGAATAATGCGAAAATAATCACTGACAAACCACCATATTTGGCACAGGCAACTGTAATGGGATTAATAGATTAAGAAACGGCGGCCTGGGACCAGGATATTTTGACTGATATTTTCATTCCGGAGGATGTGACACGGATAAATACCAGTGTCACCAGATTATGAGGATATGTGGTATTGGCATGGTGATATAGCAGGTGAATATTCGGTTAAAAGCGGTTACTGGCAAATAGTGGGAAATTATGTACAGACGACAGGGATGTTTGATAAATGGCCCAAATTATGGAAGCTCAGAGTACCCCCGAGATGGAAAACATTTTTATGGAGAGCCTTGAATAATATATTGCCCACAACAACGAACCTCATTATAAAGAGAGTGGAGATTAGCCCAGCATGTGCTATGTGTGGGATTATGCATGAGAATGTTATGCACTCTTTGGTTGAATGTGATTATACAAGGAACATTTGGGCACAATCTCGCCTTCCAATCCCCAGTACTATCACAGATATTTTCCATGTTTGGTTTAATGACATATTAAATATTCTAGATGATGATGAAATTATTTATGCAGTAGGCCTACTATACTATATATGGCGAGCGAGGAATGGAGCTGTGTGGGATGCATACTTGCCCAGACCACAAAAGATAATTGCAACTGTAACCACAGCGATCCGGGCATGGCAAATAGCACACCCGGACCGCCTGAAGCAGCAACGTGCTCCGCGTGGACTGGCCACGGTAATCCCCGAGCAGCACCAAGGTGCGGCATTGCAGCCTGCTGCCGTTCTGCCCACACCCCTTGCGGCTGCCTCCGTACGGAAGAGATGTTACTTTGTCGCGGCCTTTTTCCAGGCCACAAGTAAGGCCGCTGTTGGGGCAATTTTCCTAGACGGACAGGGATCGTATATCACAGCTCTACAGGCGCCATTGATAGACTGTTTTTCCCCGCTTATGGCAGAAGCAATTGCATGTAAAGAAGTATTATCCTGGCTATGGGATCGTGGAGAGAGATCGGTAGACATACTAACGGACTGTTTGTCACTACAACAGTATTTATCGCAACCGAAGGAAACACCACGTTCGTACCTCGGCTATGCCATTGACACCTGCAGAAACCGGATGGTTTCCTTTGATTATGTTTCAGTTAATTATGTTCCTAGATCAGATAATTGTTTAGCACATATTTTAGCCACTTCGGCCTTTAATTATTCAGCACCTATGTACTCGGACAGTGGTCCGCCATACCCTATTTCAGCATATTTCCAATGAATGCCGCCCAGGCTCTTTTCAAAATATATAATAAAGCAGAATCTAGCAACAAAATTTTTCCTCCCTAGTGTGAATGCATTTTGATAGAAACATGATTATCAATTATGAACGCATTAATTGTGTGGGTAGATGTATTTATACATTTTTTTGAAGTTATTATTACGTATTTATATTTTATTATTATAGCTCTATCTCTCTATATATTAAAGCATAATGAAATATGGAAAAAAGTTTATTGTGTTAGAATTTATTGATAAAGTTTTATATTTAATATAATTTGTGTATATATTCAATTAAACCTCAATTATAATTAATTTGACTCCACATATATAAAGAGGAGATTTTAGATATAAAATAAATATAATTCTTACATAAATAATCTTTTTCGAATGAATAAGTTTTTGGTGGAGATTTTAGACAAATATCGTCTGTTATTTTACTTACAAGTTTTATTTAAATACGTTAGTTATATAATTAAAGTAGTTATTTCAAATTCAAATTTCTTTAAAAAAAATTCAAATTCAAATAATAATACAAGCAACAATAAACTTTCAAATCAACATAATAATAGCATAATTAAACTTTTAAAAATATTAAATATTACATTGTATAGTTATACTTACAATTTTAATCAAACTAATTCTGAGCTCAATAACTCAAATACATTTTTCTGTTTCCACAACCATTAATTTCTTTGCTAATTCAGAGGATGTAAAAAATTTAATTGGTAAATTTATTAAATTAATAATAGTTCATGCATCGCACGAGACAATTACTAGTTTGTATAAACATGTAAGCAAAAAGGCTAGCGCCATTTTTTCCCAGTTGTAACATTAACTACTTTTATTATTATTATTATTATTATTTTTAATACTACTGGCTCTATTAACTACTTAAACTACTCTATTTGACATATTTAATAGAAAATTTAGTTAGAAGTTGAAAATTGGATAAAAGTTTAAAAAGTAGTTATTCAATGCTAAAAGTCAAAAGTTGATAAGATATGTGACTAAAATTCGAAGCGTTTGATAAAATTAATTAAATAAATTCGTGGGTGTAAAAAGATTTTTTTTTTAAAAAAAAAAAAAATGAAAATGACACTTTTTTTCCATGAGTTATATATACTTATAGCACTTTTCCCCCTGAATTATTTAAGTGACAGTTTTTCTCTCTGAAATGTTAAATGGACATACTTACCCTTAAAATAAATATTTCATTTATTTTTCATTTTCAACAAATAATGATCACGATTCAGTTCAAACCGAACAGATACTATAGCAACCAAACCGAAATATTCTGATTACAATTTAAAATTGAAACCCGATATTTAGACTTTATTATAATCGCGAACTGGAACGGTTGGTTCATGTTCCAAACTGAAAAAAGTACATTTAATTGTTGAATTTTAACTATTTTAAAAATTAAAATTAAAATTTTAAAATAAAGTTTGAACCAACAGTTCAAACTGGATATGGAACCATGAACCAGAGGTTCACAATCAAAATCAAATCGCGATCATATATACTTATATGTGAGAATCAGAATAAATGTAAAAAAGAACATACACTATTTGTAAATATTATAATTTTAATTTTAAACTAATGCTAATAGTTGTTCCAATTCGAATTGCCGGTTTACGATTCAGGATCCACTTTTTTTCAATTTATGATTTTAATAAACTTAAATCCAAATATTGGGTTCTCGATCTTATAAATCATAACCGGAAACTTTCAATTCAATTGCTATAGTGTCCGGTTCAGTTAGAATCGAACCGTGGTCATCCCTACGTATAAGCAATAATTTGTTGGAGAAGAAAAATAAATAAAGTGTTTACTTTAAGGGTAGAGATGTATAAATGTTGGAAATCTCGTTGGTATAACCCAATAATAATCCTACAAAATATGGATTATTATTTTTTGTAGAAAGAAGGGAAGGAAAGATGAAGAGATTGACTCGTGTTTGGTGTTGGGTTTATAGAAAGAGTCAAGCGATCACTCTTTCCTTAAAACCTTATTTGCTACCTCCCATAAGTGCTAGGAGCTTTGTAGCCTAATTTTCATAGGATAAAACTTGCTACGATTCAATGTTTGAGCACCAAAACAAGGAATCCGGTGAACTAGAGCAACGGGATGAACACAATTTCAGCTAAGAAGAGAGTAGAAGTAGAGAGTTTTGAGGCTGAAAATATACTTTCGTGTTGTGTAAATTTTCTGCTGCCTCTACCCTCTCTTATATAGGGGTGGGGAATTAAATAGCTTTTAATAAGGCACTTAAGGGAACCCCTACACCTTCTTGTAACAGCAACCATTAACATGGGTTTTAATTCAAAATTTAAAAATTTGAACTCCGTAACAACAGAATTGAAAAAACATGGGTTTTAATTCAAAATTTAAAAATTTGAACTCCGTAACAACAGAATTGAAAACCCACAGGATAGGTTCGTGCAGGTGCCAACGAGATTAGGCTTGGCACCACCCCTGCGCACGAGAGAAAACCTCTATGATATACAATTCAATAAGGTTAAAAAAAGCTCGTATATAAATAGTGGGGCAAATCCTCTTCCCAAACCAATGTGGGACAAAAGCTCACTTTTTCCCTTCATTTTCCAACTCAAATGGGTCTACTTTGAGAATCAATATCTCAATCACCCATTATCCGTTTTGAGCGTACAATATATCAATCTCTTCGTCTCACTACGAAGAACCCAAATCCACTTTGACCCGACCCAAATCGGAAGTGGAACCCACTGATAATTGTATCACAAAATAGCCACTTAACATGTCATTTTATGCTATTTTTTCCAACAATAAACATATATTTTAAGGAAAAAAGGTGTCATTTTCTCAAAAAAAAAAAATAAAAATCTTTATACTAAAGACGATAACATTTTTGTAAAATAAGGGTAAAAGTGAACAAAAATTAAAAATTACAAGGTTTCTTTTAGATGCTATGGAGGGTTGCATTTAAATGCTTCTCCCAAAAAGGTTGAATCCCCAATCCTAAAAGTCCTCACACTCCTACCCGACAGAGCATGTGGGAGGATGTAAGTTACGACATTTAAATGCTTAATAAGACAGTGTGGGAATTATGCTCAAAGGGATCGTTATGCTGTGCAACCGTGTGCACCATGCAAGGTGCACATGGAATTGGATTCATAATTTCTATACTATAGATTTATAAAATCTATTGACGGTAATAATGTTACCGGAAATATATTATAAAGTGACGAATAAGAAATTGACAATAGTTGTATTGCCTTTTGTCTCAGTATAGAAAGTACCGTGTGTCCCCTGCTCAGCTGAGGGAAGTTCTATTTATGCTAGGTCCTAACGGTAACAACATGAAGAGACATCCCTGGGGAGCTGAGCTAACGGCAAGAATATGAAGAGTCATGAATGAGGCGTTGAGGTTTTAACTCTCTCTCATCAATGGTGGCATCAAAGGTGGCTTCAATGACAATAAATGTGACACCTGTTGGATTCTAACCGTTGGAGTTCTGCCCGTTGGGTTCCCATGTGATGCTGAGTCAGATGCTCATTTGTGATCCGGGTCGGGTGCCAGCCCTATTATCCTGTCATCTATATACTGTGGATTTATAATTTCTAAACCGTAGATTCATAATTTAAGTACAGTAGATTCATAATTTCTATACAATAGATTTATAATTTCTATACTGCAGATTCATAATACCTGTACTGTAGATTCATAATTTCTGTACTTTAGATTCATAATTTCTAAACTGTATAGTTATCAAATTATGAACATATAGTTCTGTGGTTTGTGAATACAAAGTTTAACAATTGGGAATATGAACATCGAAAATTGTGAACATAGAGTTTTGTAATTGTGAATATAGAGTTCAATAATTATGAATATAAAGTTCAAAAATGATGAATATATAGGTTTATAATTATGAACATATAGTTCAGTAATTATGAACATAGAACAGTGTGCACCATGCATGGTGCACACGGTTGCGCAACATAATTTGCCTACTCAAAGTGAGTAGATCCTTTAATTTGTACACACCGACATTTGACCATGTCTGCTGAGCCATTGAGTTATCGTGATTTACATCCTCCCAAATACTTTGTCGGCCCGGGTTATGGAGACCCTTGGAGTTGTGGATTCAACCATTTGGGAGAATGATTTAAAAAAAGAAAAAATATTTACCAAATAAAATGAATGTTTAATTATAACAAAGTTAATTCAATGGTACGTCACAGGATCTTTCTTATGTAGGTTGCGTGGCCCATGTGGGTGGAATGGTGGTTAGTGCATGCATGCTGCACACGGAAGGGTAGCTAACGGAGGGCGGTGCGTATAGGAGCAGGGATCTCGGGAGAGTGCGCGACAAAATCGGTCTCGTTCGAGAAGTTGGGGGCACGTGCGGAGAGGAGAGGGCACGTGTATGGTGGGAGCTGGAGGCCTGTAGATGTTGCACACGTGGGTGTTATGCGGAAGTCCTGAGAGGGTATAAAAGGGGGGATTGCAGTCAGTTTAGGAGGGGGCAAGAAACACAAAAGACCTGGTAGCCTGGCGGTCTAAGTCTTCTCTCTCTCCTAATTGGTCCAAAGATCGATTATGGTATTATGCATGTAATTCAGGTTTCTGTCTATCCGTTTATTTCCCTTCTTACTGTATAACTTTGCTGTACTATTGTTTCTGGGCCTGCGACATTGGGCTTGTGCGCGTTTATGCGGGCCTCGCGCCCCACTGGCAATAATAGCTCCATTATTCCGTTCTATATTTCTTATACCGGTTTATGGTGGACCCGATTTCATTAAAACCATCATTGGCACCGTGTGTGGGGTCGTTACAAAAAGCGTACGTCCCTAGCTTTACTCATCCTTTAACATTCTATCACGCACTCAAGTCCCAGCGAGCACCCAGATGAATAGATCCGTGTTCTTAAAACCTGTTACCTTGCCATACTGTGTTATACGCCCAATTCCCGAAGACGATCATTGGATCCCAAAGCCGGTTCCTGAGGGCCCTAG